CTTTTTAGACCAATTAGGTGAAATAGGAGGATTTTCTACGGCACACCTGACCATCACTAACGGCACAGTGGTTGAAAAACACTGATCTAAGGTACCATTCACAGGTTTAAATCAGACCTGAGAACCTCTATGTGGTGCACTACCAAACAGAGAAGCCAATCACTTTAATGCTTTGATGGTATTGATAGTGATGAAAAACGTACATTAAGTGTGTGCTCCCAAGCCTGTTTTAACACATGCCATCCCTTTGAATCTTGGCTACACATTTAAAGCACATTGTCAGACTGGTGAACTGGTTAACTGATCTCAGTTCTTTGTTTTGTTTAACAGGTTCGACAGATACGAATGGCACTTCCAAGAAGCCTCTCTGAAGTCAATGTTGAAACCATTTCGAATGTGCAAGGTGATTTTAATCTAGCTTCAGTCATCCCTGCATCGTTTTCCAATGTATTAGCTATAAGGAAACGGTATCTGTGTCTTTGACATCACTGTCATTTGCATGATGAAACTCCCCCTCTGTGTTGGCAGGCAAACAGTTCAGGGCAGTTATAATAACTGCTGTGCAAACGCGTGACAGCCTCCAGGTTTCGCACTTGCCCGGTCTGCCGCTTTTCAACGATCCCAGAGTTTTAAACACTGCAATGACCAGGGCTCAGTCCCAGGTGATTGTAGTTGGAGATGCCGCCGCCCTCTGTTGCTTTGGGAAATGCTCGGGAATCTGGAAGAGCTTCATGGACCACTGCATCACCAATAAGAACGTCGTACCACAGCATTACACAAAAGACTTCTTTGAAAAAGATGTTATGGAAATTGCAAGGTTTCAAAAGACTGAAGTTGTGGATGAAACAGAAACTGTTAATGATGCGATTCTACAGGAGCTGAGAGATGAATATGAAAAGTCCAACACAGAATCCAGTTCAGATGAGGACAATGTGGAGGAGTTGAATCCCCAGAGGCACAGAGGCAATGAAGACCAGACAGATCTCTTGGATTTATGTTCCAAACAACCAAAGATGTTCGAGCGAGGAAAGTTTGTCCGGCAGTCATATTCAACTGGTTATGTCGTTCCGTTTCATGGCTCCAACAGACGGATAAGCATCCAGGGAAGAACAAACACAGGGAAGGCATTCACTGGAGATGAAGTGGTGATTCAAATACAAGAACCCAGGGTGGTTGGCATCGTCAAGAGTGCCAAAAAGGTCCAGGAATTTTTGTGCTTTCTCGAGGAT